GTAAGGTCAAAACAATTTTGTTTATTTTAGCATGTTAAATTTTTTTCAGACAGGTTCCCTCAATTTTTTTATTATTTTTTTTGCAATTTTTTAAACACTTTTGGAATATTGTACGAAGTTTACTGAATTATTTTACCGATTTTTACTCATATATGTATTTAGAATGGCTGAGGAGAAATATATTTACCTCTTTTGGGCATGCGGCATGAGCGAAGTCGCGGGTAATCGTTAGTTGGTAACAAGATCAAAGGCCCTCTTGAACCAATGTCGAGATTATTGAATGGAGAGTGAGAGGTCCGTGCGTGGGACCGGGACAGAGATAACATTACGTAGCATTCGATTTCTTTCCGAGATCGATACACAATAAATCTCCCGTTTTGTTCTCTTCTTATTGCACTGTCCGGCGAGTACCCTCGCGACGGTTGAAGAGACAGCTCACGGCTACCGGGTTTCGGGTTCGATGTTCGTGATGTTTTTTTATTTATGGGAGTTTACCTTCGATTTATCGTCACTTTGGTTTTATAGCCTCGATGGCTGTGAACTGTATTAACATAAACGGCGAAAGTCATTGTTTTATCTAGAGACTGTTGAGTGTGCGTTTCTTGAAATTCTGTTTCTTTTGGTGTGTTTTGATTAAAATATGAAATATTTATTTACTGTTGTTTTCGTTAAGGTATCAGCGCCGCGGGTTATGGGTTCAGTTTTAGTTCGTTTGTGCGATTATAGCAATTAAATTTTGACCTATCAAGACCTATCAAGCATAAATGTTACCAAACCATATTTAGTAGTGTATCACAAGTTGAAAATAGACTAAAATTTTACTTCAGGTCCACGGTCAAGACTAGGGTTCCGTTAGTCGGTGAATCTGGGAGAGCGACCAAATCTTGTCACAAGATGTTAGGCAAGCCTCGTGGGAATCTAGTAATGGTCCCAAAGGTTGAGATTGGCAGACGGGGTAGATAAGAATACCACATAAGCATCCAAGACGAGATAGAATATCTCTTGAAGATTACACCCCGGTTCTAAAACACTGTGCATAATAAAACTCAATGACACGATTCATAACTTGTAAAGAAGACATAATTAAGTAAGACACGAAGACGATTTGTACCGCACGCATACATCAAGTCCGACAGTAGCTTATCAGGCGAAATTATCGCTGGCCATTAAATCATATTCGCTATACGAATTATTTAATACGTCATTACATTATTTTATGTATTATTTATTCAAACGGAGATCGAGAGCGCACGCCCCTTGACTCGCATTAGACCACCATGGAGTTTTTTTTATGGTTGATTTAATTCAATCATCGCATCGTGGGTTGGTTGCTGTACTACCTACAAGCAGCAAAAGTGGAAGGTTCCGGAATAGTAAGGTGTCATGTTCGAATCTCAGCTCCCTGCATTGCATCAAGGCGTTTTCTTCTTTAGATTCGGTTTAAGAGGAAAATGGTCTATAACTATTGTCAGTGACATGTAGTGTTTGGAATGTTTAATTGATTACCTCGATAAGTCATAAGGTAAAAGGATTAAGAAAGTGAATGAGAGATAATTTAAAACAAAGTGTTATGTGTTAAGTACCCTAATTATGAGTAAGAGCACCTGTTCAGATTTTTAGATAGGGGATAGTGAAAAAAATTTACTTAAATATAATATTCTCAAAAACTTGAAATCCAAACGTCATAAATAACAAAGATAAATTAGATATGCAAAACCGTCTTTAAGCGCTAGTCATATACTATGAATAAATGAATTGAATATATTAGTATTACAATGTCTAAAACGTGCATTAATGTAAGACACTATCATTAGTGCATTATACAATGAACTAAAATAATAAACGATGCAGAGCCGATATCAGCCGAATCTTATTCCTGCTTGTTTGTGCCAGTCTTCTTTATGAGTAATGTGAAATTAATTACGCGACAATTTCCAATATAATTTAAAATTTATAAAGTGCCCGTTGATTTAGCGTTAATAAATTATTTTGATGTGCGTTTTATGAACTATAATCCCGTTATAAATGTCAGGATGTTGCGAACTTTTTTAAGAAATTGAATTAAGATAGCGCTTTATGTACGGTCGCTTTGTGACTTTAACGTGTAAAACTGGTTGCTGTATTTTTATATCGTCATTATCTCGTTTTAGAGGTTGTAAGAAAATATTATTCTTGATGTTGTAAATAATATGCCGCGACGGTCTGACTTTTCTGAATAAAGACTGTCTCATGAGTTACTACTAGCCCCATAGTGCACGATGGTGGTATGAAATCACCGTATTTTCTCATAAAATTACGTTTGCCACCGCCAATGGCATTGGTAAACGTGGTTTTATAAGAGAACAAAGCAAACTGGTGTTAAGTGATAATTTTCATAGACATCCACAATTACTTTGGTACATCTATGTAGCCTATTTGTGAACACAGCGTAAAGTAGAAAATGCTGCCTAGTCCTAATAGAGCAAATTATAAATTCGTGGTTTCTTTTATTTGGTTACTAATAATTTTACTTTTAGTTTTAGGTATTAATTTTCGAAGATTGTCCAAATTGTCATTCGATACCGAGTTTGTTTTAGTTATCGTTGTTAGCATTTTACTGAACTGACGCAATGAAATTTAATAAATAATGTCATGTTAGCTCTGTAATTGAATTCATACTACTTAAAAACAATCAAATTTCGGTTTGCACTACATTTATCCCATTACACATTTAATTCACATTCTGTACATATTGTACAGAAAAAAAAATAGCAAATTGGTAGACACCCTCTCAGCATAGAATTTCTTTTGCTCCTTTTTCAGTAAAAAATAACAGACTTTACAATCGTGTCCGCCGCTCACTCTTTACGCTTAACGGTGATTCGAGTTTCGTCCCCGAAGAGTCAAGACTACAAGATATTACACGGTACACTTTTCCAAAATAGGGGCTTAATTAAGCTTTAGTAGTAATTGTAACACAACGTTGTTCCGATGCCATGAGTAATTCATTACGTGATAAATTTTACTGTTCCGATATCCAACGCTGTATAAATATATAAAAATATGTTATTGAGGTTTTGATACCGGTTTTGTTCAACTTTTTTTTGTATTGTGTACCAAATCTTTATATATATATTTAATAACGGACCAGACATACGTTGTCCAGTACGCATGACTTAAATCCGACAAAAATTATAAAAAAAGATGAAAAATTATGAATCTAAACCATTCTCGAATCGACCTGAAGACACAATTTTTTTTTTAAATTGGTCCTACCGTTTAGCGGAGTTCAGTGACAAACACATGTACATTAGAATTATATATATAAAGATAAGTATTATGCTCTTGTTAATTTTCTATATTAGTCTATTCTCTAGTCGGGTAACTTGTAATAGTATTATAATAACTATATTATTGTTATATTACTTGTATAATTTTGTTTAACTTCCTTAAATTATTATAACTGGTATGCATTCAAGAAACTAGAAATATTTAGATTTTAAGTAAATATTCCTTATATTTTCAATGAAATGTCTTCCTTCATTTGTTATACACATCGAATCTGTTGGACCGAGCTAACTCGGCGACTAAGCAACAACCTATTATTCATCGTTTGAAACTAATTAAAATACATTTGAACTTTGTTACTTAACCACTATCATATTTTGCCAAATGCAAATTTTTCACGAGTTTCTAATATGTAGCGGTGAATTAATGATTGAATATAGTTCTATAGTCTAGTCTATTATAGTGGCCTAGTACTAAAAAGATATTTTACTATGTGTAATGGAGTAGAACTTTTTTAATATTGTTAAGTTTACTCCGTTTATTTACAAAAAACTTTTAGGAGTATGTCAGGTGAAGAGACAAGGTTTCAGATTCATTTCAGATCGCAATAATATGGTAATTAGTAATTGAATTATAAGTCTAGTGTTCATTGTGAATACAATTATTGATCTACTTGTTTGTATTCTTTAGTTTTCAATATTTTATATAAAATACTCTACGTGTTAAAAATAAAGAGAGAAAATGATTATGATGTCAGTTAAACGTTCATCGACGGTTCTATGAGCGGTCTACCCTTTGGGATTAAAAGTCATTACTTACTGCCATCACATACTTCACTATTGTTTTTTATTTACGATGATGATTTTTATGTTCGTCGTAAAGTAATAATTTCTTTTATCGGCGGTCGCTTAAACTTGGCAATTTACCGCGTGTAATTTTCGTTTTCGCCATTGATAAGATCGATTCGTTAAGTAATGTGAGATCGCTTATCGCCGCCAGTTGCACGATCGGTGAGAGTGACGGCCGGTTGTTTGCACGGTGATCCGGTTGCTATTGGAATGAAATCTGGTGTATGCAGTCGTTGCACTTTTACTGTACTAGAATCACCTGTCAGCTCCTGCTGTGCATGAATGTGCTGACTTAATGCCGTCTAGCACCGCAGTCTACTAGACTGCGCACCGGTATCTAAGGGTAAGGATAGTTACTAGTCGCTTGATCATTTGCTTTCTTGTCTTTTATACGAGTGAGATGCTACCATTGATAGTAAGAGGCATATTTTAAAGTATCTAATAATTTGTAGTCGAAAATTACTGGCCATATCGAAATTTTGGAGTTTGTTTATGTCAATGCCTGAGGACTTTATGTAAAATCATAATTTAATAAACCTAACACGCATTGTTATGTGAATGTTCATGTTTGAAGATGATGTCTCTATATACGGTGACTAATTGCAACTGAAGTGTGGCTCATTATCTTCATTAATCATGCAAAGTGTTCATAATTGCTTTAGCAGTTGGCTATAAAAACAGTTATGATTACGGTAATTACGGATTAGGTACTTAATAATAGAATGTTTCCTTAAACCAAATTTCGCCACAAAATTGGTCCATTTGGCAGTAAAGTGTTGACTTCTATATATACATATATATTTAGATATTTTTGTTACATTTAGATATGTAAATAATACGAATGCAATGACTGTTTTAGTTTTAACGAAGTCTGTTATCTTCTCAGTCTGCATACGCGCGTTCCCACACCGATGCCGATAAGAAGCGGCGCGTGCCGATCACGGCCAGCGCCAAATCTGTACCCGGGCGCATTTCGCTCAGATCGTACTCCGCCTAATAAAGAGCTTAATTGCCTCCAACATAAATTATTCAGCCCTGCTAAAGCGCGTCGTCGATTATTGGCGAGCGTTTTTCTCGCCGTATTTCGACATACATTTTAAATTTATGTCTCGCTTAGAGTCATCCCCAGTGCGCAAACTCTTCAAGGCAAAAAGCTATCACCAATTAGCATGATTCGAGCTAATTGTCGAGCTATGGTTGTTTTTGCGACGCGTTCACGGTAAGAAATTGTCTTTAATCGCGATATTCAAATGACGAATGCACTGGACGGCGCAACTAATTGCCCTTAAAGATCCCGCTCCGTTTTATTTGCATATAATGAGAACGACACTTGTCGTCCGCTTGTTGGTAATTATATAAAAATGCCGTTCTGCATTCCGGCGTCGCATTGTCAAATCAAAATGTTTATGTTAATGTCATATGCGATAGCTTTCCTCTCCACCGATAAAAACTGGAATATTCGAATGAACTTTACGTTTTAATTTCTCCTGTGATGGTAACAAATTAACTCGGTCGGGAGTTACCAGGTTGTTTTACTAGGAAGTATGGCGCAGGTTTTGTGGGTCTATAGACGCCCTTTTGAATATATGTAATATATATTTGGGAGTGTTCCGAGGAATTGTTTGGATTGATCCCGGCGGGTGAACTCGACCATCGGACATCGCGCCAGTACCAAAAATTTCATCCACACCACCTCGATGTCCAGCGTTCCACAACAGCGCGTTTTTCAAGGCATTTCTTGCCTCGCACAACCACTCTGTGGAACCAACTACCGCCAGCGGTCTTTCCGAACCGTTACGACCCGGGAACCTTCAAGAAGAGAGCACCCTTTCTTAAAAGCCCGGCAACGCATTTGTGAGCCCTCGGGTGTTTCACGTGTTCATGGGCGGCGGTGATCACTTACCATCAGGTGAGCGTCCTGCTTTTTCCATGCCCCTTTTCTCCATAAAAAAAAATATACTAGCGTACAGGTGTGAGTTTTCTGATTTTTCAAATAGATAATGTATAAGTTACTAACGTTACCACTACTTTAAGCATTGCATAAGGTGCAGTACTATTAAGTACTTATAAGAGCCATTTAAACTTGTTTAGATATCAGTCATCTGCAACAGTCAGTCATATTGGACTTTTAAAACCCTCTTTATAGAATTAGCTATTAGCCGAACTAACTATTTTTAAAATTCCTTCATGTTAGAGATAACAATTTTAATATTAAAACATATGTATATAAATCGAGTCTATCGACTGCAATATACCTGTCTTCGGCCGTACAGCGGGTCGACAGCGCAAACTTATTGAGGGAATTAATCTCGGAACTGTGCGCAGTGCCCGGAGACTTGTAATAAACTGTAATAAGCCGTAATAAATGTGGTGCGACAGGCCTATTATGGTGGTTCCTTCAGTGAAGGGGCGTGGCCAAAAGCCAGCGCTACCGTGCTGCACTAGGCGGTCACACCGCCACTGGGCTTAGGAGGGAAATTGCCCGTAATAATGTGATTAACGTCGGTGGGGAATTGCAGATCTGTTTGCAACTTTATGAAACATTATTCTAAAACTATTTACCCAGGGCATGTACACCTGAACCAAAGGGTTGAGCAAAATCTTCGTTTGTGACGATCCAAGCGGATAGTTCGCGCATTTTTTGTGTCCTATTTGAGGTGATTTTTGCTTGTACAGATTGTTTAGCTTAAAATGAAGGGTCCCGTTAAAGTTAAGGTCTAATATTATGCTCTTTTATCTCCATGCAAATGATTTATGATTTGAATGTTGAATAAGTCCAGAGAAGAACCGGCGGTGGCGTCAAATCAGATAATCACGTATGTTTAGACGTTTAAGACGTTTAAATATACACAATACACGATTTGAATAATGTTTCATTTTATTTTAGACTATTACACCGGCCCGATGAAACTCTCCAATCATCCGTGCAATCTCACCAGGACAGAGAGAGTATACACGTTCTGTTAAGTCATATTCGGAATACCAACGGAGCGAGGAACGTGAATGAAGCGTCCTCACCCACCATTCAGTCTACTGAATTCCTTTCTACATTCGGCCCGTTTGAACTTTAGCCCCGCAGCGCAGGGCGCAAACTCGATTGCGATAGCCACCCCACATCGCTAGGCGTCATCTCGATAGCAACACAAACATAGAGAGGTGCATAAAAACAACACTCGACGCTGGCTCGGCGGCTACCAGGCGAGCAGCGGCGCGTGGAAGTGCACAGTAGCCGACCGGTCGAAGTAATGACACCAGTGCCTTTTAGGGCACCTGTTATGATGCCCCGCGAGTGTGCGGAGGATACGACTCGCCTCACGCACGTGTATCGATCTCAGTTCTTACCTTAGTACGTACTTTAAAATAAAAAGCAAAATATCCGATTGAATAAAACATTTTGATATAAAGGGGCTTGATCTAAGTGTTAAATAGGCATTAAATATTAGGACGAAAAATTATTATTCTTGCTTCTTTTCCTATCCAGTACAAATCACTTTGCACGATTGAATGTTTACGTATTAAAAAAGTAATTAAACACAGTTTTGTAAATACAATCAATACATACCATAAATGCCTCATTATTGTAAATGTTTGGATAAATCATATCCACTATTTCCTTTCGTACAGGCCCTCGGCCATCCAGTTTGTCCACTCTCATTAAGACCGCGCACTTAGTACTTACAGCTGCGTTTTTCCATCGACACTTGACAGTTGGGAGAGACAAAGCGATCTCCACCGTCATTATGCTCGCCTGGTACTTGGCTTTGTCTAGGACTTTGACTATGATCGTAGATAAGAATAGTTTTACCGCATAGCCAAGGTACATGTTGCACCAGCCAACTAGTGTAAGAAAATTCTCAGAAGATATTCAAGTTATTGAATACTATACATTTTTGTTTTCCTGGTAACCATTTATTCCACACGTTTGCGGGAAAGTGAGGACAATAAGAGTATTTAACAAATCAATTGTTATGTAATTCCAATATGTCTATAAACTCTCATTTCTCGAAGCGAAAAGCTGTACACAATAAGGCTGTCAGATTGCATATAATATAAATAAGAATTAGATGTGCAGTTATCGACAACGACTTGATTAAAAATAAATGTTAAAGTTGCGAATTAAAATTAACTTTTTGTCACACCGGGACATTGGACCATTTTCAATAATACACATTTTCTTAACTAAGGATTCATTCTGCTACTATTTTATTCAGACGGTTTAAATCTTTTAAAAAACGTTTGGTTAGTCCCAAAAGACATTTGATGAACCAGTCAGCTAGGACATATTACTTTATTTATTGAGGTTACTTAAAGTTTAAATGACACAGTGGAACAATTGAAATTATATTTTACGATTTTACCGTCGCCTTCATAATTATTTTACCTTACCTCCCACGTGATTACCTGTTAATCTCTTATATCTCGGCGTGTAGGCAGGGGCTCCAGATAAACTGGGGTCCGGACTCGAACCCGCTATCAGTAACACACGGCTACCGTTGACTCAAATGGGTTTCCCTTGTTACCCGTAATAAGAGGCTCGGATTCTAACTGACCTTCAAGGGTAAAGATACGGCCGAGATGGAAACGGGATTTCTAATTGGAATGTACTATTATCTTTAATTCGATAGTGTACCCATAAATAAGAATGGTCGGGTTCGATTTAGAAAGCAACCGTTAACGTTCAACGTAGTTAAGTAAAAGCACCTCTGTTTTGGTACATTAGCCGGAATTAAACAAAGAGATGACTAGATATGAGAAACGTTCGCATTTTGTTACCATTTCATTTGATGCACAGAATAAAATAATTTATTAAATTGCTTTCAAAAACAGTCATACATATACACGATGTAAAACTACCAACTAACAAACGAAAACAAAGTATAAATAATTAATATAAGAAGAGCAGACCGAACATGTAATAACAGAAACATATACTAAAGTAGTATCTCTCTTAGACAACCAGCCTTACTGACACATTTTGGGAAGTTTGGTAAATGTTCTTTAAATTTTGTCGAGTGGCAGCCTTGTATTAATCATCGCAATGTAGTACCTACAACTACCTGGAGTGACGTTCTGTGCGGAAAGTCGATGGATGCAGGTGTCTCAGGATCGGGCTTCAAGGCAGTCTGTGGGTGAGGCATGTATCCAGCAGGGGACTAAAAGAGGCTGAAATGATGATGGTGATTATATCTTCAGATTCGGTGAGTGCCTTTTTCTTCCTTCGAAGGTTTCAAAACACTGCATTTGTATTTGTGTTTATATACATATACATAAAAACTCCAACCCGTCACCCGAGTAAAAAGAGGGTTTTCAAATTAGCACGATCCCTACACATATAGTTACAATTATGCTGCTCTTACTTGGCAGTTACGGTTAACTCCACCCAGTTCGTTTGACGCGCATTTGTTCGTATTTCGTAGAAATTTCGAGACACGAGTTGTTCATTTGCGAGCAGGGGCCCGAATCAATTTCTGCGCCTGACCTCCGCTATCCTCAGCATCGGTGGCCGCGCACTGCGCCCGCTAATTGCACATCCGAGCGGCCCAACGTCTTCATACCGGGCGGGACCCCTCGTGACCGCGATCTCAGACCCCGCGGCCATCGACGCCCGCCGCGATCTATCTGACGCCTGCGCCCCAAGTCGTGAGACTGTGTCCCGTACTACGCCGACTTTTTGCGGTAGCATATAACCTCTAACATATCTTAGACTTTGATTTAATCGAAGCCAAAGTCGAAGTGCACATTTCTTTATAAAGTATAAGTATCAGGTATAGTGATGTAGCTATGTAAAGTTTTGTCCGGTTAATCAAATGAAAGTATAACGCGTACAAGTATTTCAATTACGCTACGTTATCGCCTTTGGCCTCTTCTGAGTAGATAGTCTACAAGCCTGAAACATAAATTGGATATTTTGATAATATCATTACATTCTTTTCCCTATCGGTGCGTCAAAAAATAAATTAAAAAGCACTCAAAGCAGCGAGCGAGGCGACGTGTCGCATTCTCGAGCGGGCTGTTACGGGCGCGCCACAATTCGGCTCTTGTAATTGATGCCATAAATCTCGAGGCGTGTACGATTCATCCGTCGGGGGATTATCGTTGACTTTTAAAAAATGGGACTAAAATCGACCGCGAAAGGAGCGTATCGGCTCCTGTCCGAACACACACATAATAGTACTATCTATCACGGCTTCCGCTACTGCATGATTGGATTGAGTTTTAAGTCGGGAAAGTTTAGAGTCATAAAAAGGACCGCAAAACGGAGACCCCCGTAAAGATTCCTACAGTAATTTTGCTGAGTGATATGTAGTCCCATTTGTCTTTACTGCGCAAGTATTATTGGTGTATAAAAGTAAGTAAAGTAAAGTAACAGCCAATACATGTCCCACTGCTGGGCAAAGGCCTCCTCTATACAGAGGGTATCAGGGCATAGTCCACCACGCGGCCCCACTGCGGATTGGCGGACTTCACATATTTTCGAAATATATATTTTTTTTTGTTATTATTTCGAAAATATGCAGGTTTTTCCTCACGATGTTTTCCTTCACCGCGGAGCACGTGATAAGTCAGCACTTAAAGTTAAAAACTTCATTGGTGCCGGCACCGGGGATCGAACTCAGGTTGCTCGAGTATATTGAATTAAAGGCGAGCGCCCGGACACTGAGCTATCACGGCTCTATGGTGTATAAATATTATAAAAATCAAGATAGCAGATTTTTGGCGCCAAATATAAAAGTGTTAAATTTATTTTTCGTGCCTACCGCTATCGGATTTTTATTTTTTTTAATGTCAAATAATTATATTGGAGTATAAAGAAATGAGTTTGATCATAACATAAGCAAGTGGACCTCAAACATTGAACCTTGATTAGGCACGAGTTAGCGTACGACACGCAAGCTGAACAGATTTCCATCACAGCAGATCCCCCTCTTCGCGTGTAGCGTAATGGTCTCACCCGAGCCAGCACCTCCTCGTCCAAGCGAGCTTAATAAAGACCTCCGAACGCAATCTCGAATCGAAATTCAGTCCACGCGGCAACACGACTCCTCTTTTTACCACGACTTAGTGTTTGAAAAGCCTTAAATGGTACGTTATCGGGAGGAGAATAAATAAAAACCGCCACTCGCATTATCGCCCGCAGCCCCGTCAAAGTCCGGTAGCTTAATTTATTCCGTGTCGCTTGTAACGTTGGACTGCCGACGGAAAAAAAAATTAAATAAATCGAGGACGAATGAATACACTTATCTCGGGCCGCGGACGCTGCATTCAGCCCGTCGAAGGCGCAGAAGGTTTTAGGCGGCCCTCTTGAGCGATCGACTGCCGGGACATCAAACGTGTCGCCCGATCGCGTACCTATGTTCTTAATTACCTGAGTGTGAATGGCTTTGTTGTCTTGTTAGCTGTGATACGCATCTTGATATCTTTTAAAATATATATTTTTTTTATGTGAAAAGTTGCCAAACGAGCAGACGGTTCACCTGATGTTAAGTGAATACCGCAGCCCATTGACATCTGCTACACTCGAGGGTTCCAGATGTGTTGACAACCTTTTGGAAATTGGGCTCCGGCCACCTCACTCACCAGACGAAACGCGAAAGTATTAAACTTCCACTTTACGCCGGTCTTCTGTGATGTCGTGGTACTTACCCGGACGAGCCTGCCCATTCGTGCAACAGCCGAGGCTGCTGCGTGGCCCTACCACCGTACAAATATGTTACGTATAACATAACAGTAAAACACAATCTCATAGATCGCGTTTCGCAATTGCGCGTGGAACACGGTAGTTTTCCATCACGTGTCATAATAATATAATGTATAATATATAAGTGTACGATCCTAAGGAATGCTCGCGTGTACGTCAATGTATCATTCGCGACAGCGCACATAGAAAATTCCCGCGTTAATTGTTCTTTGTTCAGTTATAGAGCGCCGAGTTCAATATCGTGACGGGGTCGTGACGTAAAGGGGTCGTGACGTGACATTCTACCTTTTTAATTAAATTTCTCGCCGTTTTAACCCACGGAAATTCTAGTTTTTTGCATTTCGATAAAGATTTATAATTCGATAAGGTTTGATGCAAAGAAACTTCTATAAATTCTAAAGATAGAAAAATAATGTTTGTTGGAAAAAGTCAAATTGAAAAAAATCGGCAGGGTCTGATTTTTACAATAACTATCGATACATTATATTATGCCTTTTCTCGCATAAAGATAATGTAAAATTAAAAGCGCTTGACACCTTGTGGGTTCTATGTGGATTGCGTTTTTGGTACCATATAGTATGGTGCAGTTTTGTGAGACAATTTATTAATTTTTAGGGTTCCGTACTCAAAAGGTAAAATGGGACCCTATCACTCCGCTCTCTGTCTGCCTGTCCATTTGTCACCAGGCTCTGTCTCATGAACCATGACAGTTGAAACTTTCATAGATAATGTATTTATGTTGCCACTTTAACGACAGCTATTCTAAAAAGCAGAATAAAAAATACTTAAGTGGTGGCCCCATGCAACAGACAGACTTAATTTTTTTGCCTTTTTTATAGATAGTGGTACGGAACCCGTCATGCGCGAGTCCGACTCACACTTGGTTTATTTGAATATGAAACGACTTCAGAATTTATTCAAACTCATTGTAGTATCTTTGGCAGCTTTACGAATAAGTTCTACACAGCTTAGAAGGGAACCTTGGAAAGGCATTGTCTTTAAAATGGCGGTGTCGGCGCGGGCACGCAAGCCGTGTAGCCCTTAATGAACAAGTTAATTAGGCGGCGCACATACGTCGCCGGTCGTGGGCGCCTTATCTGTAGATAGCGCTATCGGCCGCGCCTCTCCGCCGGGGACCCGTGGGCCACTTTGTTACAGATTAGGATTTTTCCAGCGCACCCACTTGGAGCCGTGAATCTGCTCGCCTGCGACGCTCCTTTGCCTCCTTTTCTGCCATGCACCGGCCGTAATGGATGCGCCCGATCTGGGAGCTAATTAAAATTGTTGCCGAACTGTTATATATTTTGAATTACTGCAATTTCTTGTGTGTACCCAAATTATTCATATTGTCATATTAAACTTTTATTTTTATTTTTATTTTATGGCTTAAAAATAATAACATTCTGCTCAAAAAAAATACACGAGACCTGTAAAAACAGTATCAATGAACAATGTCAACCTTAGACTAATTAAAATTAAAGAGTTTTACAAAAAAAAATTGTGTACTTTTGAAGCACTGAAACTTCAAGCTCAAACGGTAATATAAAGTCAAACTGAACAGTAATCTCTTTTATAGGAATATATGTCTATGAGTGAAGAAGGGAGCATATTCGATGGCTATTTGAGTACGGAGCGCTCAGGCCAAGAGCAGATCGGCCTCGGAACGAACAATCGCGCCGCTAGATGGCGCGGTGGTGAAATGGACTCGGCCCGGTGCGGGGCATTAGGCACGGATCGGAGTTATTTTATTGACGGAAGCCGATTCCCATTAACGAGGCTACCGGGCGAGCTGCACCGCTCACATAAACTGCGCTATCGCACTGCGCACCGCACTACAGGCTGTCCCATTAGCTCTCATCCCGTTTTCAAAGATAATACTTCGAAGCTGGCAATGAGGATGTTTTTAAATAACCCCCTTTACACTTAGTTTATAAGTTAGATATTAGAAGCTTAGACTTCAGAAGTTTACGCTCATGTTTTCTTACTAAAGTAAAAACGAAAAAGGAAAACAGTAGTGAAATGTTCGTAGAAAGTCCAAATCTTTAGCCTCTATCTATGAATAGGATGAGTATTTACGTATTACAAAATATACCTTAACTTTAATAACTTCCGTCTAAAATTTATTTGAGAAGTTTATGGTAATTATCATCATTTAATTGCTCATAAAAGACACGTTGTTTATTTATCGATTAAAATTCTGTCGTCAAGAAAGGATTCTGTGGTAAGACTAAAAGCTTTAAGATAAGGTAAATTAATTATAAAAAGTCATAATAAAAAATAAATCGTAACAAAAGAAACCATGCATTTAATACTCCGTTAAAAGGCCAAAACGAAGTACAGCACTAACAGAATTTTTAATTCAAAATTCATATAACTTTCGACCACAAACAAGCTAAAACAATTCACTAACACCATTTAGGCAAAACATTTTTATTGATATATAATGGTCGAAACATAAATTCAATTGCTTATGAAACGTTTGATAACTCCATAGCGAAGTTGCCAAGGTATTGGCTTCGGCGTCGGGGGTCGTGGGTTCGATCCCCACACGGAACAACTACTTGTGTGACCCACAGATAGTTGTTTCGTATCTAGGTTTTTGTCCATGTGAAATTTATATTTGTAAAACGTCCTTACAACACAGTATATTGTCATTGTAAAAGTAAGGGCAATTTTTTCAAATTTTTTACTTATTTTTTAAAATTAAGAAAAAAATAAGAACGTTCTGTATATTCCGAAGGCGGACGGTGCGTATGCCGTGGATTGAGTTAAATGCCTCCTTATCTCGGCCTCCTAATGGCCCCGAGAACATGTCAATTCATCACTTGCATGTCTCACACGCTCTTGTTTTTCTAAATAATCCTTTTCTCGGCTACCGGCCCTTTATTAGCGCACGCCCGAATAACAATCTCGACACACTGGTTTCTTTTCAACTTAACGCCTACTCTGCAGTATGCTTGGGCCATTTGTGACGATTTTCTGTTAGTGATATGTGAAGCATGATGATTGTAGAAAATATTTCATGTGTATGTTATTATATTACATTCTTGACACTTTTTGTTTATCGAACAAAATCGAGCAGAGTTTATTCATTTAAACCGAAATGCCTTCTGATATTGAGGACGTAGACCTTTTATAATTGAAAACTGAGCATCCCGAGCCATCAACAGCGCGGTTCTTGGTCCGAACACGTCGAGTGAATCACTCGTTAGGCAACAACGGCCGTGAAACCTGTGTTTTGATTGTGCGATTTTGTTTCTCTTACAAGTCTGCATCCAACAGTGTTCCCTAGGAGACGCTAAGGTTTCGCGCGTGCCGCAAAGCTGGTAACGGGCCGAGGCGCGTCGCATGGCCGTAGCGTGCGTAAATAAACAAAACCTTCGAGACTGTGGGGCGCTCGAAAACGAGTAAAAAGGCGCTCCGAAGAGCGGAAGCCGGCCGCGGCCGATAAGTGACCGCCGCCGACAAAGCTAATACGTTTAGAGGGCATTATAAATCACTAAGAGCGCAGTTATCGCGGCGCACAATTAAGATGTCTCGTCGCCCGACCGCCGCCGGCCGAATTGGGAATTAAGAAATGTGTCACCGTTTTTATTGGGCGGCCCCTAACGCTCAGCAGTTGTCACCTTCTTGCCGCCGCTATCGGTGAATCTCCCCAGGTCGCTCTTAGTATTATCTGGATTGCAACCGCCGAGTTATTACGACCTAGGTTTACACCGCTCTATGGATGCTGCTGGATTTTCTAGACTTTCGACTTGGTGTCTCGCATCGAATCACGCAATTTTGTTAGACCAGGCGCTTTTTATTTTTGTGGCTGATATTAATAAAATGATGTCAATATTAATATATTTGTAATAATTATTTTTATATATCTCAGAATACAACATATAATACTCATATGTGAGTGCCGCACATAACTATACTTGAAGACACATTTCTATTTTTTATCACTTTGACAAAAATGATAAATAAGAAAAAACTTTTGACTTCCCGCCAAAAATATCAGTCATTTTCCAATGAGATTCAAACTGGAAACTCTTGCCGCTGACGCTGTCGCGGGCTCATAATATGCGAGTAGATACTATATTCATCAATCTGCCAGTTCGGTTTTCACAGCCGCCGTTCAATTTATTCAGCGGTCATAAATCGATTGCGGCACCATTAGTAATTCAATGCTCACAGAATACCAATGATAATTTGTTAGGTTGTTACTTTTCAATAAAACTTCAAGGGGCGTCGTCAGTACCAGTGCTCTAGCATTGTGCTGCTTTGGTTTAAATATATCGTTTTTTTTTTAATTTCGATAGTCACGTGTAACCGGACCGTCTGTTGCTTAGTTGGCATCAAACATGAACCATCTGCTTGTTGCGAAGTGGTTAAGAAAATTGGATTAGTGAAACCTTTCTAATACTAACTCGATATAAACAGGAATAAAATGACATAAGAATTTCGAAGGGAACAAAAATAATGTTGGGCAAGGGAATGGATTAAATTGGTCGATGGTTTATAACGGCAAATAAGAAAAAACTATATAGAATGGTCACGAGAATGTAATGCATGATAAAATTACTTTGTACAATTAGTTTATTATGCTGAAATTAGACCAATCGTGATTTCGAAAGAAAATATTCAATTATTTACTATTATTTCATTAATTTCAAATTTCTCACCATATGCTATCCCATTTCATAAGAGTTTCCTATAAGCATTTCGCTAGAAGCTATTATAAAAATTTTTAATAAGTAATTCAATCACTGTTTGAGAATCAATTTTTGTTACTTCATAATTATTCCCTTTCTCTTTATAGTTACGATATATTTTGACGTCAAAAGATGTGTGAAAATGCGTGATAAACAGCGACCATTAACATTTGCAACTCCACGGGTGGATGCGTTGCCACCTTACAATAAAGTGGGCCCCGGCTACCTCACTCGCCAGACGAAACGCAGAAGTGTAACACTTTCACTTCACGCCGGTCTTCTCTGAGGTCGCGGTACTTCCCCGGACGCAGCTGCCCATTCGTGCAACAGCTAAGACTGTTGCGTGGCCCTACAGTAAGGATAATTCCAATAAGAATTATTGATTTTGTTATCCATGCTCTACTTTTAATCCCTAAATTATATGATCTCGACCATGCTTCTATCTTAACAGGGTGGACAGATATCTGCTCCTGCATTTAATAACTTTATTGAGTTCCAAAGTAGTTGTTAGTTTTGCATGTAAAATCGTATTAACTTAAAATCATTACTAATTTCAACGGGATTGGAATGTCGTATCGAAATATCACAAGTCGACCTCTATATCCATTAGGCCATCATTGACCGTTAAAACACACGGATTCAAATTTCGAATAAACGTCGGGCATGTATATTGGGGGTTCTGATGATGTCATTTTTATCCACTAAAGTAATTTTAAGTTTCCAAGTTAGTAATTACTTTTACAATTTAGATTTTAACAACTGATCCCGATCTTTGTAACTGTTCCAACAAAGACCAAAATAGGATTTTTTTTTTCACAAATTACAAGTTAATTAGTAATATAAGTAATATAAAAACTTCAAATAAATCTAATTCTATAAAATAAATGAGTTTTGATTTAGGCTAAAAGTTTTGAAGAGTATTTCATTATGAATAGCAGCAGGGGTTGATATAATTTGTTTGATGATGTTATCCTAAAGGAAGGGCAATGTTTTTTTAAGAAAAAAAAAATGGATGGCGAGAATGATAATACAGTGACTAATTGTGAATTTATACAGAAAACTTACAATTTCTTAGTAGAACCGTTCTGTACATTCAATATCTATAACTTTTCTAGTCTCCTTTAACTTTCCAATACATCATGCTACAGGTTTGTATTTGTAAATAAGAAATTACCGTAATATACAACCGTCCGTTTATGGGTCCCAAATTTTCGTGGCGAGTGTAGCAGCCGACGAAGCCCACGTTAGAATTTTAAAATTCTAAATATGAACAAGACTTACTTAGAATGATCTTCTTAAAGATCAGAATGATCAATTCAAAGAATTTAACCATCATTTTGGCAACTCAAATGACATTCGAAATGCCATTTGACAGCTGATTCGTTAACATTTACGATGATAATGTTAAAAATAAAAAAAAATAAAGAGACACTGTCTTTATTTTTTTATTTCTTTTAAACATTGCCCTTACTTTAGGATAACATTATTCTGTGTTTACAAACATAAATTTCACGCGGACAAACACGATGCGAAACAACTATCTGTGGGTCACACAAATAGTTTCAGAAGCCGGGCGCTACAATTAAGAAATTTTCACTTCAAAATTGCTTGTCCGTGTAATGAGAGCATAGAAACGAGCTTTGTTCATAACAAGAATCCCTAAAAATTTTGTAGGAAATGGGCGAAAAGTTTTACGCCGCTGCGAGAATTTAAACCTGCGTAATACTCTATTATGCCATATATCTAATGTCTTATGATATACTCTTTAAAACGTTCTTCAGCAAACAAAGTATAGCCTTTTTAATAAGAAGACGTACATTTTTTTAAATTACTGGCCTCCTTGATTTCCTTATATGAACTATTGCAAGTGATGAGACTAAAAAACAAATATCCGAGTATTCAATACGTTTGTTTTTAATATTAATTTTATTTTTAGTGCTAGTCTCTGCACTCTACATGAAAAGAAGACCTAAATCTTCTGGTTTTCCGTCCGTTTCACTCTTTTAGATACCCGGAAAAAATAGTACTACATCAACATAAACTTTAAGCAATTGTTGTAGTTTAATAGCAGCATATTATTTTTTGTGTGCCTGAAACAAGCCGAATCTGAATAAAATATTATGATTCGAACTTAAAATGCGGCCAAATTACTCGGCAGCTCTAACCAAAATCGCTCCAATATGATCTTATTGGCTCGAAAATTCCGAATGTGTTTCTCCGGAGG